ATATATATAAAATAAATTTATGTATAAATTAAAATTAACTTATGAATAAGTTAATTTAAAAAATTATTCTACTAATTTCTTTAAAAAAAAATGTACTCACTCATAAATTAATTTTAATTTATAAAAAAATTATTTGCTTCCATATTTCTTTCATAACTAATAGACTAATAAATGTTACATAACTTTCTAATTATGTTAACTATTCAATTATTTTTTGCATATTTGATCGGTCCATTTTTAATAGAGTTGTCAAAATGGGTCACCTGGCCCAACCCACCACGGGTTAACCATTTGGTGGGCCAACCCAACCCAACTTATTAATTAGTGAGCTCAAAAAATCGAACCAACTCGGTTCACCATGGGTTGGTAAGTTAAACAGGTTGACTCACCTAATTTAAAAAAAATGTAATTTTTTTCATCTTTTTTTTTTCTTAATATACAACTCACTACAACAAAAATAATTTTTAGCAACATTTGAAAAGTGTTACTTAATTGTGTATAAATGTTACTAATTTGCTTTAACAACATATTATCAAATGTTGTATATAGTCCATGTTTTTAAAGACTTTTAATAACATTTTTACATAATTAGGCAACATTTTTCAAATGTTAGCAAAGTAGTATTTTTGTAACATTTTAATGATGTTGCTAAAATTTTGTTAACTCTATAAAATGATAATTATTTTTAATTTAGATATTACTATCAATTATTATATTTTTATGCCTCCTAAACTCTTAGGAGTTCTTTAAGTGAAGATTAAAGACATTCTTAATTTGTTTTAGGGGAAGACATTCTTAGTTAATCACCACTAATTATATATAAAATATCAAAATTCATTTATCTTGAATATAACTATATGATTATATATACTCTTAGTCATTCATCTATTCGATATGAGACTTTAATTATGAGTAACAATCAGAGATGAGAAAAATATGCTTTTTTTTACTCGATGTGTGACTTTGATTTTAGAAGCAATTATAGTAACATTTTTAAAAGAATGTTGAAATATAACCTATGTGACATTTTTTTATTCGATATGGGACTTTGATTTTGAAAATAATTGGAAAGAATAATATTGAAATAAAAAATGTTACAAAATAACCTATTTATTTAATATATAGTAATATTTTAACAAATGCAAGAAAGAAAATATTGCTAAAGAATTAAAATCTAGTAGTGACTAAAGCCCAAAAAGTTCAAACCTATTTTAAAAATTTGAGATTCGCAGTGGTGCGTGGTGCGAGATGGTTCGTGCCACGAGCTTTGGGGGTGGTGCGTGTCCCGATGTGCCTTAAGCATGAACATGAGGCATGACCACACGAGCGGTGGTATGGTGCAATGATTTAGTGTGAGAGGGTGGCTGGTGGTGGTTGGTGAGGTCGTGAGCATGAGGGTGGCTCTGGCTAGTGGTTGAGGGGTTGGCTACGTTGTAGTGAAGCGTGAGGGGTTATGAAATTCAGAAGTTGAAAGTTGAAACCCTATCTCATCTGTAACCTATCCAAAACATTGGGCTAAAACCTGAAAGTGAAAATTGCAAATTGTAAAGGATGAAAAACGGACCCTATCTCATGTTGGGCTGCATTGTGGCCCAATAATTATTACATTTTTTTAATCACAGGTTGGTGAGCCAACCCAGTTCACCACGAAGGTTAGCCAAGTTGTTAGTAAGCCGAGTTCAAAATTGGACTGTACTAAAATTTTCAAATTTTTTTCAACCCAATTCGGCTCGAACTCGTGGTGGACCAAGTTGGTTCACATGCTAAAGCCCACTTTGACAACTCTAATTTTTAGCATTGTTTTTATGGGGTCAAATTTTGATTTTAATTTTCTTTTTGGTGAATGAATTTTGATTTTGATTTTAATTAGTTTAGCTTTTTTGATTTTTGAGAAAAACATTTTCATTTTATATTATACAGCCATAATTTAAGCTGAGAATTTATGCTAACAAGATTTAGACTAAAGACTTGTCAAATCTCAATCGAAAACTATTAAGGAAGGTTTATATGATCAAAACATGAAAGATTTGTCTATCTCCTGAAGTCGAGCAACGACTCAAGGAAAAATTAGGAGACCTAGGCCCATCATTAATGCTTAGACTCAATAAGAATATAGTATAAATAATATTAGTAATAGAAAGAAAAAAAAACACTTTTAGATCTTATTTATTACAACATTTAATATATCGTATTTGTCGATGCTAAATGCTAACTTAATCGTTGGAATGATTTTTATATGTCCACTCCTTTTCCTCCTAAGGATCGAAGACTATGAAGTCAAATACTTAGGCAGTGAAAAATTAGCATTTTAAAAGAAAAAGAATTCACTATAGAACCCTTTTGCAGGTATAAGTATATTGTTTTTTTAATTTAAATAAATAATTAAAAGTATAAGTATTTTATATTAGAAAAATATATTTAAAAGAATATAAAAAATTAGTTTAAGGAAAACTAATTAAAAAGAAGATATAGGTAAAAAAGAAAGAAATCTTATTATAAAATCATTTTTAAAGTAAAATGGTTTTAATTCTTAAAAGAAACTCTTAAAAAAAAATTGTTAAAAGCAAAAAATATATAATATAATATTAAATTTTATTCGTTTTTAATTTAAAGAGTAAATCAATGTTGAAATGAGATATACCATTTCACTCATAACTCCAAAACGTCAATTCTTACCAATTATGACAAGTCATGCCTAATATCAGTGATTCGTGACTATTTCTGTACCTTCCCGGTAAAATGCCGATTGGACCCTCCCCCACTCGTCTAATATCTGACTGGATCGTCACAGCGTACATCAACCCGGCTCTGGCTCAATTACACGCACCAGTGAGGGGCACTCGTCTTTCTCCCGACAGGTCCCTTAGTACGGGCCTTGCCGGTAAAATCCCGACTTGACTAACCACCACTTACCCCACGGCCTCGAGATAAGAACGGTTAAGGAGAATCCCGATAATCTCGGGGCCCACGAAGCCCATGAACAGAAAAGTATAAAACCTAAAACCCTAGAGCTAAGACGCCAGATTACACTTTTGAATGCTCTGGCTGTGAGGCTTGACCTAGGAAAAAACCCTAGTGCACCCCGTGGCCAGAACATTTTGGCGCCCACCGTGGGGCTACGGTGAAACTTTTCCTTACGCCCCGAGAAATACAAAAACCCACACCCTATCATGGCGAGAGGCGGCACTAACAACAATTCACAACCTCCTACCATGGAAGAGATGATGGCCATGATCAATGGCCTAAGAGAGGAGAATGCGCGCTCCCGGGAGAGAGAAGAAGTCATTCAACGCGAGAATGAGGAGATTAGGAGGAGGGCGGATGAGATGCAAGCCAGAATAGCGGCTAATACTAGGATTGTGGAGGAGGATGTCATGCTGGAGGTCCCGAGAGACTTTCGGCCATTCTCGGAAGCCATAGAAGCTGAGATCATCCCTAGGGATCATCGAATCCCACAAGTCGAACCTTTTGACGGAACACAGGACCCCGGCCAACACTTGACGGATTTTCGAGCCCAAATGTTGATCTGTGGTGGGAGCATGGAGGTCCGTTGCAAATTGTTCATGGGCACGCTCAAAAAGGCGGCGCTTGATTGGTTTAGCGGTCTTCTTGATCGATCGATCACCGACTTCGATGTCTTCAGTCGGCTTTTCATGGCGCAATTCGCCGCTAACAAGAGGAAGCCGCCGATCACATCAGACTTGTTCGACCTCAAGCAACAACGCGAGGAGTCCCTAAAAGACTTTATGCAAAGGTTTAATGAGGTCGCCTTGAGGATAGCGTCTTTGGATGAACGGATGGCGGTGATCGCGTTCCAGAAGGGTTTAAGGTCCGGGGCTTTCGATATCGCGCTTGAAAAAGCAAATTGTCAGACGATGTCGGAAGTCTGGGCTTTCGCATTGAGTCATATCAAGACGGAGGAGAACCAGATTATTAAAAGGGCAGCGGAGAACCGAGAAGCATCGAGTAGCAATAAGGAGGGCAACAAATATCTCCGGCCGCGGTCGGATTGGAGTAAGTGACGCGACCAATACAACCCGAAGGAGAGTAACTACCGACAGGCCGATCGTGCTGGTCGGTCAAGGGGTGAGTGGCCGCGTAGCAAGGAGGAGGAGAAGTATACGCCACTTAATGTTTCCAGGCGACACATTTTACATGACGTTAACAGTGCGTCATTATTCGAGTTCCCAGAGGCAACAGACCGCCAGTTGGGACCTCACAAAACCGATTGGTGTGAGTTCCATCGGACTCATGGGCACAAGACGGAGAATTGTTTCGTTCTCGGGAGGCAGATCGAGCGCCTTATCAAGGAGGGTCGATTGAAAGAGTTTATTGCAGGAAAGCAGGGTGAGAGCTCGTCCGACAGGCGACGTAGGCAGGAAGGAGAAGACACCGGGAGAAGAAGGCGCGAAGGGAGGTCTCCACCGAGAGACCCCCCGCAAAAATCTGTGGAGGCGCACCAGCAGGCTATCCATGGAGATTTCAACACTATAGCAGGGGGATTTGCAGGAGGGGGCCGACTTCGGCGTCCCGGAAGAGATACTCTCGGTCAGTGTTCTCGGTTGCGGAGTGGACGAGACCTACTCGGCCTGATATCACGTTCTCGGATGCCGACTTCGAGGGCGTGTCCCCACACGAGGATGACCCGATAGTCGTCTCGGAGGTTGTCATGGGTTACAATGTGAAATGTGTACTGGTGGACCAGGGTAGCTCGGCAGACATACTTTTTTGGGAAGCTTTTGTTGGTATGAAAATTCCGACTGATCGCCTTATGCCGTACGCAGGTACATTAGTTGGTTTTGCAGGTGATCAGGTAACAACTAGAGGATATGCCGACTTGGAGACAACTTTTGGCCATGGAGAGAACTTGAAGACTGTCACTGTCCGATACCTAGTGGTGAACGCCCAATCATCCTATAGCATACTAGTGGGCCGACCGACAGTAAATAAGTTGGGAGCGGTCGTCTCCACACCTCACTTAAAGCTGAAGTACCCTTTACCCAGCGGAAAGGTGGGCGTCGTCTGTGTCGATCAAGACGTGGCGAGGAAATGTTACGAAGACAGTCTGAGGGCGAGGCGCCCCCTATATGTGACACAGGTTGATCGGGGTGTTCAGTCAATCGAGTTAGATCCGAGAATAAGTCACTTCGATACCCGACCAGCCCCAGCTGAGGATGTAAAAGAGGTTACCTTGGCCGAGGGGAAAACCGTCAAGATTGGTGTATCTCTGAGCAAGGAAGACGAGGAAGGTCTAGTGATGGTGCTGAAGAACAACATATCAGCTTTCGCATGGAGTGCCGGGGACATGCCAGGCATTGACCCTGACTTCCTATGTCATCATCTCATGGTCGACCCCAAGGCGAAGCTTGTGATCCAGAAAAGGCGAAAGTTTGGCGAAGACAAAAGGAAGGCTATAGTTGAGGAGACGAAGAAGTTGATGGCAGCTGGTCACATTCGGGAAATCCAATACCCGACGTGGCTCGCAAACGTGGTAATGGTACGGAAGAGTAATGGAAGTTGGAGGATGTGTACAGACTTCACCGACCTAAACAAAGCTTGCTCGAAAGACTCGTATCCACTTCCCAACATAGATTGCTTGGTCGACAACGCCTCGGGGTACGAGTTGTTAAGCTTCATGGACGCTTATTCAGGTTACAACCAAATCAGAATGCATCCTGCTGATGAGGACAAAACGACTTTCATAGCCGATTAGGCTATATGTTGTTACAGGGTCATGCCATTTGGTTTGAAGAACGCGGGAAAGAACGCGGGAGCGACATACCAGCGGCTCATGGACAAAGTCCTGGCAAAGCAGCTGGGAAGGAACGTTGAGGCATACGTGGACGATATGGTGGTAAAGTCGGACAGCTTCTCTCGGCATTACGCCGACTTGCAAGAGAGCTTCGACACTTTAGCGCGTTATCAACTCAAGTTGAATCCCGCGAAGTGCTCCTTCGGCGTCCAAGCAGGAAAGTTCCTCGGTTTCCTGCTGACCCATCGTGGTATTGAGGCAAATCCCGAGAAGTGCACCGCGATTATCAATATGAGAAGTCCGGGGACGGTGAAAGAAGTCCAGCAGTTGACAGGAAGGATGGCTTCCCTCTCTCGTTTCCTTTCCAAGGTGGCAGAAAAGTCGCTTCCTTTGTTCCAGTGCTTGAGGAAGAACGATCGTTTTGCATGGACAGATGAATGTGAAAAAGCGTTCGGAGAACTCAAGCAGTCTCTCACCTCGCCACCAATACTCTCCAAGTCGCAAACTGATCTACCTTTACTGATGTATTTGTCGGCATCCGATAACGCCATCAGCGCGGTCCTAGTGCAAGAAAGAGGCAGCTCTCAATTTCCTGTTTATTTTGTTAGCAGGGTACTGCAAGGCGCGGAGGTTCGTTACCAAAAGATTGAGAAATTAGCCCTGGCAATACTGACCACGGCAAGGAAGCTGAGGCATTACTTCCAGAGTTACGAAGTGGTAGTCCGAACAGATCACCCTATCAGGCAAGTACTGCAAAAGCCTGACCTGGCAGGGAGAATGATGAAGTGGTCTGTGGAGCTGTCAGAGCATTCTATCAAGTATGAACCGAAAGGAGCGATAAAAGCTCAAACGCTAGCTGATTTTGTGATGGAACTAACTTCACCGGCGGGGGAGGACCGAGATGAAGACACACAGTGGATATTGTCGGTAGATGGAGCCTCAAACCTAGGAGGAAGCGGGGCGGGAATTGTCTTGGAAGGACCGGGAGGAATCTTGTTAGAACAATCATTGCGATTTGAGTTTCGGGCAAGCAATAACCAGGCCGAGTATGAAGCATTATTAGCCGGTATGACCTTGGCGAAGGAAATGGGGGCGACAAGTTTAGCAGCACGAAGTGACTCCCAATTGATCACGGGACAGGTAGCCGGCACTTTTCAAGCAAAGGACCCTCAACTGGCTAAGTACCTGGAGAAGGTTAGGCTCTTATCGGAAGGTTTCCGAGAGTTCACACTTAACCACGTACCACGAGAACAAAATTCCCGGGCCGACTTGCTCTCCAAACTTGCAAGCATAAAGAAACCTGGATCTACTCGGTCAGTCATCCAAGAAACGCTGGCACAGCCGAGTATAAATGAGGCGCAAGGAAATGTCCTGTTCACTCAGGAAGAACTCAATTCGTGGATGGAACCATACATTGCATATCTGACACGGGGGGAGCTACCGGAAGACAAAAAGGAGGCATCGCTAGTGCAAAGAGAGTCGGCCAGGTTCGTTGTCATCAACGAGAGGCTGTACCGAAGGGGCTTTAGTTCCCCTCTCCTGAGGTGTTTGACCATACCGCAGGCGCGGAAAGTGATGGATGAAATACATGGTGGAATGTGTGGAAGTCATATCGGAGGTCGAGCTTTGGTGTACAAAGTTGCCCGAGCAGGGTACTTTTGGCCATCCTTGAGGAACGACTGCGTCAATTGGGTCCAAAGGTGTGACGGATGTTAGAGACACGCAGTCTTACTCCATTCTCCAGCAGAACGACTACATTCGATATTGTCCCCCTGGCCCTTCCACAAGTGGGGAATTGATATTCTCGGTCCATTTCCGATCGCCATAAGGCAGCTGAAATTCTTGATAGTGGCAGTCGACTACTTCAGCAAATGGATCGAAGCGGAACCAGTTGCAACTATCTCAGTAGAAAAGGTTAGAGCTTTCCTTTGGAAAAGCGTGGTGTGTAGGTATGGAGTCCCACAAATGCTCGTTTCTGATAACGGGACACAGTTTGCAAGTGCGAGAGTTCGTGATTTTTGTAAAGAGGTCGGAATCCTAATGGCATTCACCTCTGTTGAACACCCACAGTCTAACGGCCAGGCCGAGTCGGCCAACAAGGTAATCCTCTCGGGCTTGAAGAAGCGTGTGCAAGAATCGGGTGCTTCATGGGTGGAGGAGCTTCCCCGAGTGCTATGGTCGTACCACACGACTGTTCATTCGACGACTCAAGATACCCCTTTCAATCTGGTATATGGAACCGACGCCATGATCCCGATTGAAATTATAGAGCCTTCAGTACGCGCTATAGCTTTTTCTGAAGAGGAATCCGACCAAGGAAGACGAGTTGATTTACACTTGATCGCGGAAGCAAGAGAGAGAGCGAGAATAAATCAAGTAGCAGCCCAGAGAAGAGCAGCCTTCAAATACAATACAAAGGTAAACCCAAGAGATTTTATTGTAGGAGACCTAGTTTTGAGGCGTGCTCAACTTACACAGATGAAGAACAAACTATCGCCTAAATGGGTTGGCCCTTACAAGATTGATGATGTAATCGGCAAAGGGGCTTACCGACTTAGAACATTGGATGGAGGCATGATACCGAGAACGTGGAATGCTACAAACCTGCGCTTCTATTATAGTTAGACTCTTTTCCCCTTTTGTATTAGGTGCACTCTTTTCCTAACTCAGTATTTTTTCCCGTAAAAATATGAGGGGTTTTTGCTGAGAAGGTTTTTAACGAGGCACCACCCCTTTCAATTCTAATAGATGTCGTCTGATTGTTTTTCTACCATAATATTTTTCTCTCTACATTGATGAAACTCGTGATTGTCGGCAACAGTCCGACTGGGCGAGTATAAATAACTCGATTGATGATGAAACTCGTGATTGTCGGCAACAGTCCGACTGGGCGAGTATAAATAACTCGATTGATGATGAAACTCGTGATTGTCGGCAACAGTCCGACTGGGCGAGTATAAATAACTCGATTGATGATGAAACTCGTGATTGTCGGCAACAGTCCGACTGGGCGAGTATAAATAACTCGATTGATGATGAAACTCGTGATTGTCGGCAACAGTCCGACTGGGCGAGTATAAATAACTCGATTGATGATGAAACTCGTGATTGTCGGCAACAGTCCGACTGGGCGAGTATAAATAACTCGATTGATGATGAAACTCGTGATTGTCGGCAACAGTCCGACTGGGCGAGTATAAATAACTCGATTGATGATGAAACTCGTGATTGTCGGCAACAGTCCGACGAGGCGAGTATATATAACTCAAAGATAAACAAGTTTTGGACCGATTAAGTCCTCAGGTTGGATTTCTGCCGAGACGGAATCCGACCCGGGACGGGTAATTCAATGAATCAGTGACAACAACGAATCAATGCTTAATTGTAGGTTCAAATTACCATAACTTCGGCTCCGAGAGGCCTGTAAACAAGGTCCGCATTATCTCAAACTTAGCAAAAATTTTTGGCATTTACATAGTTGGTACTTGCACGACTGGATGACTTACTTAAAAAAAAAAAAAATTTCCCTAGCCAGTACTGGAGGCCGGCACTGGGGCGACTAGATGATGTGATGTTCACTGCGAATTTAGCAAAATTTTGGGTATTTTACCGAATCGACACTCGGACGATTATGTGGGAGATCAACTTTTTAAGCATTCTTCATCATTTTCCTAGTCGAAATTTGGACGACTTGAGGTTTCAAAATTCCTGATTAACTTAGAAAAATTCCTGATCAACTTTTTGACCGACTTTGTTTTCAAGTCGCGTTTTAACTTAGAAAAATTTATCATCCACGCAGTAAACCAGATTTTGACTGACTTCGTGGTCAGCTTTCACATTTTACCATCTCCTGGTCGGCATTTGGACGAGTAGATTCATTGATGTTCAATAGAAAAATTATTAATGCTTTTCACTCGGTATTTGGACGAGTAGATTCATTGATGTTCGTTTTCAATTTGGAAAACTTATTGGTGCTTTCTACTCGGTATTTGGACGAGTAGATTCATTGATGTTCAATTTTAACTTAGAAAAATTGTTAATGTTTCCCTAGTCGGTATTTGGACGACTAGATGATTTGATACTCATTTTAACTTAGAAAAATTTTGGTGTTTCCCTAGTCGGTATTTGGACGACTAGATGATTTGATATTTCATTTTAACTTAGAAAAAATTTTGGCATGTTGCCCTAGTCGGTATTTGGACGACTAGATGATTTGATATCCATGTTAACTTAGAAAAATTTTTGGCATGATTCCCTAGTCGGTATGTGGACGACTAGATGATTTGATACTCATTTTAACTTAAAAAAATTTTGTGATATTTTACCTAGTCGGTATTTGGACGACTAGATGATTTGATATTCATTTTAACTTAGAAAATTTTTTGGCATGTTTTCCTAGTCGGTATTTGGACGACTAGATGATTTGATATTTCATGTTAACTTAGAAATTTTTTTGGCATGTTTCCCTAGTCGGTATTTGGACGACTAGATGATTTGATATCCATGTTAACTTAGAAAAAATTTTGGCATGATTCCCTAGCCGGTATTTGGACGACTAGATGATTTGATACTCATTTTAACTTAGAAAAATTTTGTGATATTTTACCTAGTCGGTATTTGGACGACTAGATGATTTGATATCCATGTTAACTTAGAAATGTTTTTGGCATGTTTCCCTAGTCGGTATTTGGACGACTAGATGATTTGATAATCATGTTAACTTAGAAAAAAAAAAAAGAAAAAAAAAATTTGGCATGTTTCCCTAGTCGGTATTTGGACGACTAGATGATTTGATATTTCATTTTAACTTAGAAAAATTTTGTGATATTTTACTAGTCGGAATTTAGACGACTAAATACTTTGATTCTCAATTTTTAACTTAGGAAAATTAGGCATCAACGCAATGAATCAATCAACTTGTACCAAGAAACAACTCATAGAATTCATAACAAGATCCAAGAAACAAAAGTCTACAACAGCTTTTAACACCAATGACAACAAAGGAGAGCAAAAAAGAAAAGTACAACAACTCAATCGTCCTTAGGAGGATCGACAAGCTCGCCATCCACGATCTCCTTGAAGTAGCCAAGACCCTCAAGGCTGATACTAGCATGAAGAACCTTCACTTGGCTCATGGCAGCGTCAAAACCCTGCATAAACTTCTTCAACGAGTCCATCTTGACCGCTAGGAGATCGGCTTGCAACTTTTCGATCTCTGACTTCGCCGCAGCTAAGTCATTCTCGAATACTTGCGCCGCATTAGCACTCTTATCTCGGGCAAGCTTCATTTCCTCAAGATCTTTCTCGAGAGTTGACTTCTCGGAAACCCAGGTCTCCCTCTCGTCGTCAAAGGCACGCCGACACTCAAGTAGTTTGTCCCGTTCATTAGCCACCCACTTGAGGTCCGCTTTACCTTTGCTTACGGCGTCTTCAAGAGAACTAATTTTCTTCCCTTGGAGCTTGATCTCGCGCGCCATCCCGCGAATCTTATCTTCATTGACGAGAGACAAAGCCGAAAGACGATTTGTTAAAGATTAAACTCCTTTCGCGATGGAAAAGGCGCTCATCTTTCCTAAGTCTTCCTTATCACCTTCAAACAGGTCGTTGTTGCGAATATGAGACGAGTGATTGAACTTCTCGTCCCAAAAAGACAGGGTTTTCCCCCCCTCGACACCAAGGTCAATAGGTTCCCAGTTATCACCATAGCACATGCTCAAGGTTCTCTCGGCCGACTGAACCTCGTTGTCTTTCTCGGTCTCCTCTCCGCCGACCTCAGTCTCCAAGTTCACAAGAGTAACAGGCATCTCGGTCCCCCTCCGACGCTTGTGAGAACTCTGGCCGATTACACCTGTCGGGATGGCAGCTCCCACATCCTTAACCTTTTCGACGACTACCCCCGCGCCGACATCCTTTGAAGCCTCTTGCAGTTTCCACAACTTTCTCAACTCACGGTTGCTCATGCTAGCCATGTTTTCTACATTAACACATAACAAACGTTAATTGGACACTAATAGTCATCACAACAAATAGAATCACGAGGCGATCGGCGAGGGACCGATTACCTATATAAATTTTCAGTTCACTAGGCCTATTCTCTAACTCTAAGAGTTTGGCAGTGTTGAAAACGGTTTTCAGAGCCTCAATTTTCTCAACATCGTCTCGGTCGCTCTCCGACAAGGTTTCGGCGGTTAATCCTCCGAAGGACACCGGTTTTTCATTCCAATACAACGGGTACCCCTCAAGTAGGTTCTCGTTACCCGGCGTACACCGAATTTGGAAGTACGACTTTTTGAAGCCTTTATACGATGATTGGAACAATGACAGTAATCCCCGATTTACAACCCCGATAACCGACACCCAGCTATTACGCTTGGACACTCGGCTATCAAAGAAATAAAAAAATTTACTAGCAGTCGGCCTAATGTCGAGTCCTGAACATAAAATTTCGAATCCACGCACGAACGCCCAACTGTTGGGGTGAAATTGGGTGGGGGCCACGTTCAGCGATTGTAAAACCCCTTTTTCACATTCGGTCAAAGGCCATCTCACTTTGAGTTTGGAAATGAGGGTAGTATAACAGAAGGTGAAGCGCTCGACGGAAGAAGACCTAATGCACACAGGCTCTCCATCTACGTAAGGCTCACAAACGACTATCCCATCACCCTCATAGCACACCACATGCTCCCTACAGAAACTATCCATGGCGGCCCATGAGTTTATTAAAGACTCACTTTTTAACACATCGCTTTTAACCCACTTGTACATTTCCCCATAATTTAGGATGGCCATTTGATTAAATAACCCCAAACCTATAAACTCAAGGGTGCGCGCAAGAAAAAACTACTGGAGGGTTAGAGTAGATACGCGTACCTAAGGGCTCACACTCCAACTTCGCCCACCCTAGACACAGGATTCAGAACCACCGTGAACCACCGCAGACTACGACGGAGAAGAAGGCCACCAAAGACAAAGAGGCGCGAAGCAAAACGTAAGAAGGAAGTGAAAATTGACAAAGAGAACCTATATTTATAGGGGTAAAGGGCCGCGCATGAAGGGTCAAAAACCCAAGGGTTAAAAACCCAAGGGTTAAAAACCCAAGGGTCACTACGCGCGTGGGAGCCGTAACACTTGACCCTAGGGGACCCCACTTTCCCAGCTTTATCAACGGACGTTGCCACGTGGCAGCACCATCATTAAATATCCTGCAAACACATGCTGCGCAATAAATGTGTGTCTCTTCAAGGGTAAGTTGAAAAGACGCCCCTCGACGGAACCCGAGGGGCCGCGAAATCAAGGTAACAAGTCTGCGAGTCCTTCCCGGTAAAATGCCGACTGGACCCTCCCCCACTCGTCTAATATCCGACTGGATCGTCACAACGTACATCAACCCGGCTCTGGCTCAATTACACGCACCAGTGAGGGGCACTCGTCTTTCTCCCGACAGGTCCCTTAGTACGGGCCTTGCCGGTAAAATCCCGACTTGACTAACCACCACTTACCCCACGGCCTCAAGATAAGAATGGTTAAGGAGAATCCCGATAATCTCGGGGCCCACGAAGCCCATGAACAGAAAAGTATAAAACCTAAAACCCTAGAGCTAAGACGCCAGATTACACTTTTGAATGCTCTGGCTGTGAAGCTTGACCTAGGAAAAAACCCTAGTGCACCCCGTGGCCGGAACAATTTCAATTCATTTGTCTAACAAAAATAAAATTCACCCTAGAAATATTATTATTTTGAACTTTGAATATAATCAAAATCACATATTTATTTTTGGAGATAAATAAAATAAAGTTTAATTTTAATTGGATATTTGCTCATAATATTTTAGTAAAGAATTCAATACTCCCTCGTGAAACATCAATTTCAATTCCTTTATTCTCCCTCGTTGATTGGATTTGATAATAAGAATCTATTAAGCATCATTCTATTGATGAGGCTCTCTTAACCTAAAAGAGAATGTCGCAAAAAAAAGAATGAAAAAGAACCCTTCATAATCATGAACCTATCACAAGGAAAAGCAGAAACTCATAATGCACTTGGCTTTTGGAATAAATTATTACATTTTTAAAACAATAAAGTCATCGCGGCACTGAATTTTTTTATCCGAAAAAAAATATGATGTTTTTAATTATTTAAATATTATTTTTTTAATATTTTTTATTATAAAATTATTAGGATGTTATAAGTATTCTCAGCATCATTCATTATAGACATATCTTATTTAGTATATTTTTTTCATTCATTATATACATATCTTATTTAGTATATTTTTTTAGTAATTGATCTTATAAATCATCTTTATGATGTGTTTGGAGGAGGAATTTTAAATTCTTGGTAAAGACACTTTATTTTGAAATTTAGAAATTTCATGTAAACTTTGACATCTTTGGATGACTTTATTTGGAGTTTTATGCTTTTGAATTGTCATATACTTGGAACTAATTAATGAAAGTAAATTTTAGGTTAAGCTATTATTGAGCACTTCTCAAGTATGATTCTCACCTTCATATCTTTTTCTCTCTGTAAGTGATTGCTATTATTGTTATCTCTCTCATTGCGTGAGGCCGTAGATTATGTGATGTTGTGCATTGAGTCGGTGGGTTATGGGGTTCACAAGTGTACATGTGCGTGTACGATTATGGATTTATGAATGTATGGATTATGTGGGTTATGGATTCAGTGCGGTTATGGGTTATGGGTTCCGTTTGGGCATGTGAGAGGGTTTAGAGTAGGTGCGTGATGGACGGTCCTACAGAGAGAAAACGAAAACATAAATAAAAAGAAAAAATAATCGAGCATTCGAAGACTGTAATGCCACAAGTTTAAGTGTGTGGCTATGTCCTGCGGTTTCGTTTATGCTTTATCACCAACACTCAATTTTCTCTCTTGAGTTTTTTTTTGTGATATCTTTCTTTTTGTTTGGGGATTTGATATATTATTGATCAGATCTTTCAAATAGAAATCGTGTGTTTGTTAAAGGTGCGATTATTATTGTTTTAATTCAATTTTAATTTTAATTTACAGTTACTTTTTAGGTTTTGGGATTTTTTTTCTGCGATTAACTTTTAATGGTTTGCTTGCTAGAATGTCTCTATGAATTATGTCAATTTTTAGTCAAGATTTGTAATGGAGAAAAGCATTTTGTTTTATGCTACTTGGATTTATGACGAAGTAATATTTTAAATTGTGGGGACTTTTAAAACTAATGTGGATTTGTTTGATCGTTGTCATGTTTTAGTTGTATTTTTTTTGTGTTTTTAATTTGAAATAAAGGTAAGCAAGTTTTTTATATCCATATTTGCAATTATCTCTCATGGCTATTATGATAAACTAGGTACATGTAAGAAAAAAACAAGAGGGCTAACATGATGTTTGAAAATACATGCAAGATCATTCGAAGAACGTCAAGAATTTACCTTAGATGATGAAGAAGAATCGATTGGACCCAAAGACAAAGTAGTATATGACTTGAGTTATTTCTAAGGCATCATGGCAAGGAATCCAAACTTTTGCCCTTTGATTTATACAAATTTCAAAGGCTTGACCATGGATGAATGAGAACGGATATGAGATTTTGTTAATGCATGTGAAAAGTGATAGTAAATTTAATTTGCTAAATGCTCAATACTTATCAATGTTGATAATTATATTTTATTTTGTAGGAAAAATTCATTATTCTTGAGAAAGGAAAAAAAAGAAATATTTTCTCACATAAATGATGCTTGGAGACGCTACAAGAACTACATCAAGAGGAACTATTTCTTGAAATACTCAACTTTGAGAGAAAGGCTGAAACACTGTCCGAAGCATCTACCAGAAAATCAATATAGACAATTGATGGTTTATTGGAGAAAAAGTATTGTCCAAGTAATTAAGATAATTATATTTCTAGTTTTTTTTTTTTGTTTCTACATGTTTTCATTGTTGTTGCTCTAGGCTACTGTTACTAGTCTCGATTCCTATTGTAGTTGATATTTGTAGTTGTTGTTTATGCTATTTTTATTTTATTTTATGTTATTAATGTTCCAAATGGTGTATCTAGTTGTTGTTTATGGCTGCTAATTTTGAATACTAATTATGGTATTTCTACTATTTTGGACCATTGTTTTTATTTTTTTTTGCTACTATTTCTTGGTTGATGTTGCATTTTATTATTGAACTTAATTTTTTTTTTCTTTCTATGCAATGCAATGCAAAATATAAGCCAGAAAAATGCTATCAATAGGACAAAGAAAAAATACATTCATCACATGGGTCCTACAAACTTTGCAAGGATTCATGCAAAATTGGTATTATATTTATGTTTATATGCGCAAAACAAGAAATTCCTGTACCTAGTGTGCATTTCTTATTATTCAATCTCTAATTTATGTAGCAAAAAATAAGAATGGAGAGGATGTCTCTCAAGTTGAAATGTTCATTGAGACTCGTCAGGGTTGAAAAGGAAAAGAGGTGGACAAAGATACTCAGATTGTGATTGTAAGTCTACTATTTCAATACCAATTTTTTAAAGTAGTCTTGATTGTATTTTAACTATAATGTTTATTTTCGTATAAATTAGACAAAACTTCAAGAATCAATCCAATCCTCAAGTAGTGCATTTGTTGAACAAGCTTTTCAATCAATCTTTGACAAAGAAAAACCCGATAGAGTTTGAAGTCTAGGAAGAACGATCACACCAAGTATGTTAAAGAAAAATGAAGAAATTGTTGCTTTAAAGAAACAACATTTTGTTGAGATAGGTACAATGGCTAAGATAGTTCAAGGACTACAATGTCTTATAAGATGCTTCCTAAAGGATATCAGTCCATAAATGGATGACCAAGCTTTGATAGTATATTGTAAGCAATGAAAATAATGTAGCACCTCCTTCTTCTGCCTCAACCCATATTCCCAATCATGATAATGTATATTATGCCTTTGTCAGGTTTGAAATTATATTTTAATTCATTTCATCTGAACCAATTATGAAAGTTTTCTTGTGTTTAACTAGCTTTAACTTATGTTAATTGTTGGAGATCGATTGGGGATTAATTCTATAAGTTTTCTACGTGAAAAAATATATTTATGTGTAGGAAAGACTTGATGATGAAGACCAACCTTATGATGATGAAGAGACTGAATGATGTTACTTACATGGATGGATGACTAGTTATGCATAATATTCCTAGAAGACACTTTATTTTGAAATTTAGAAATTTCATGTAAACTTTGACATCTTTGGATGACTTTATTTGGAGTTTTATGCTTTTGAATTGTCATATACTTGGAACTAATTAATGAAAGTAAATTTTAGGTTAAAAACCTCTTTTCGTCCCTTACATTATTTAATATTTTCAAATAAATGAATTACTCCATTTAAATTCCTCATCCAAACAGACTATTAAGCTTATTTCATGTAATTAATATATTTATCATTAATATATTTAATTTTATCATGATAATTATCTCCATTTTTATTATTTTTAATTAAAATAACAATTTCATTCATAACATTTTTAGCTTTAATATTATAAGATTTTTAACAAGAAAATTATCAAAGCACCTTTTTGAGAATCAATATCAATTTTAATTTGTTTATTTCTTTTCCATTCTAGATGATTAGGATATTTTTTTTATGTAACATATTCAAACACAAACAATTAGATAAGTATAGATAAAAAATTAAATTATAATCTATTATTTAAATTATAAGTTTTTAATGAGTAAGTGACAATAAGATAAAACAATAGTATTTGATTGCTTATTAACCTTCACCTTGAAATCTACATAAAAAAATTAACAATGGTGACATGTTACCGAAAAATTTGCAGTGTCTAACAAATAAGAATTTTTAATTTGATTTTAAGATTCTAGCATAGTATAAAAGATTACAAGAGAATACAGAAATAATTGAAAGGTTACATATAAAATATTTTATGATTATCTTTTGATTTGTAGAAATGATCTATACATTAAAAACTTTAAATTCAATGGTTAAATTGTTAAAATTTGATATAAAACATGAGTGGATATAAATATAAATATAAATATATATATATATATATGACATCCA